CCTCCTCTTCTCTTCCCTCCCCGCTGCTCCCCACCCTTTGCCCTTCCATCATGCCCTTCACGTATCAAGAAGGTCCTGGCCAGATGCAGCCCCTGGATCTTGGACTTCCCAGCCTCCACAACTGTAAGAAATAAATTTCTTATCTTTATAAATTACCTAGTCTCTGGTATTGTGTTACAGCAGCGAAAACAGACTAAGACATTCAGATAGACAAAAATTATCTACAGTGTAGAAGCATGTAGGAAAATGAACACTCATTCATTTTGGTAGGATAATAAAGTAGATACATCACTTTTTATTCAAAACCAATTTATTAGTATCTATTACAATGTCAAATATTCATCCACTTTGACCTAGGACTTCCATTTCTAGGAATTATCCTGCAGAAACACTTAACAAGGACACACAATGCTAAAGAATGTCCACTGCAGATCTGTTCGTAACAACAAAAACTCAGCAACAACCCTAATGCCCACTGACAGGAAATAAACTATGGCACCACCATACCCAGGGAGGCTATGTTGCCTTCAAACTAATACGTCAGATCTATGAGTACTAAGATCCAGACACGGTCAAGGTACATTACTAAGTAAAAAAAACCTATCATCATGTCCCATATAAGTCCCTTTTTGTTAAATTTTTTTTAAAGTTAATGTTTATATAGAAAACTCTGGGAATATATACCAAACTCCTGAAAGTGACTGTCTTTGAAGAGACAAATTTCAAGGAACTTACTTTCTACATAATTAATTTCTATAATGTTTACATTTTATGTCATATCTACAATAGGCAAAAAAAAAAAAAAGAGTAAAATGATTTTGTTCAAAAGATTTTTCTTTTAAGTTGTGGGATACATGTGCAGAACGTGCAGGTTTGTTACACAGGTATACACGTGCCATGGTGGTTTGCTGCACCCATCAACCCATCATCTACTTTAGGCATTTCTATTAATGCTATCCCTTCCCTGGACCCTCACCCCCTCACAGGCCCTGGTGTGTGATGTTCCCCTCCCTGTGTCCACGTGTTCTCACTGTTCAACTCCCACCTATGAGTGAGAACTTGTTCAAAGTTTTAAAAAAACTGAGAAAATTTTTACATTAAACCACTCTGCTAGTGATATTCAAGCATTTCTAGAGAAAGAACCTACTAGAAGTAAACACCACAGGCCAGACTCCAGACAATGTTAGTTAGGTAAGGTAAATGGGAGAGGGTATGTCTGTCCCAATGCTCTCTTAGCCCACCATCTCTGCCCACATAAGGAAGCTGGCAAGTAGCTACTTGGAACTAGTGGGAACTAAGAAACTCAGAGGTCTGGTTCCTTATCTCAAGAAAGCTTTAATCAAGGACAATAAGGACAGCTCCGCCCACACAAGCTGTTTACAGATTCCAAAAGCAGTCTATAGCAGCTCAACAACGAGTCTTAACTAAAAATCCACAAGGATTTTATCACTAAAATTGATGAACTGTCAAGAGGCAAATTTCTGGCAACAGTCTTTTAAAAATCCAGTTAGCATAGTCCAGTGCTTCCCAATCTTTTCCAAGTCTCAGCACACACAGGAAATGAGAATATTTACAGGGCACACTGCTTCAAACAGAGGATGCTTGCTGACAGATGACGGATCCGGGGCTCATGCTCTTGCAGCCCCAGGCCTGGTGGGCTGCAGGCATGAATGCTACGTGTCACAGTCTTGGACCCTCCTGATGGCACATCTATCAGGAGGGTCCTGCACAGGGAGAGTATTTGTTTTAAAAGCTTCCATCAAGTATTACTACATTCAGGCCAGGCACGGTGACTCACACCTGTAATCCCAGCACTCTGGAAGGCCAAGGTGGGCAGATCACTAGGTCAAGAGGTTGAGACCATCCTGGCCAACATGGTGAAGCCCCGTCTCTACTAAAAATACAAAAATTAGATGGGCATGGTGGCACACGCCTGTAGTCCCAGCTACTCAGGAGGCTGAGGCAGGAGAATTGCTTGAACCAAGAAGCAGGAGGTTGCAGTAAGTCAAGATCACGCCACTGCACTCCAGCCTGGGCAACAGAGTGAGATTCTGTTGCCACCCGCCCCCCACCAAAAAACAGTATTATTACATACATTTAACAAATATTTATTAAGTACCTAACAGGTTCCAAGCACTGTGTTAAGTTCTGTCATCTTCCGCTACAGACTGGAGATAGCCTGCAGACTAGAGGAGGAGACAGACAAACGAGCAATTCCAATACAATGTAAATTGTGCTGTGTAAGGGGAGTATCGGGATTTTTATGGAATCCCATGCCTGGGGAAAGGGGATTTGTCAATGATTATGTCTCAGAAATGTTCCCTAAACAGAAGAGTAAAGAGTAGTTCAGGTACAGGAAACAATAGGCGCAAAGACCTAAATACAAGAAACTATATCAAAGGTTGGGCATGCTAGCTCACACCTGTAATCCCAGCATTTGGGGAGGCTGAGGTGGGCAGATCACTAGGTCAAGAGGTTGAGACCATCCTGGCCAACATGGTGAAGCCCCGTCTCTACTAAAAATACAAAAATTAGATGGGCATGGTGGCACACGCCTGTAGTCCCAGCTACTCAGGAGGCTGAGGCAGGAGAACTGCTTGAACCCAGGAGCAGAGGTTGCAGTGAGCTGAGATCACAACATTGCACTCCAGCCTGGTGACAGAGCAAGACTCCGTCTAAAAAAAAAAAAAAAAAGCAGCAAAACAGGCTCTGTACCATACAAATAGAACAATAGGAGGGAGTTAGTTTTGTGGTTTTAATGCATGTATTTTTTGATTAATAGGAATAGGGCCTATAAGAAAGTCATTTCACCAAGGTTAGGGAAGTATGTGCCTTCCTACACAATAACTGATTAAACGTACGCTATGAGAAAAGTAAATTAAGAAAATTCTTGAAGATAAATTTGTAAATATTGACAATACTATTGATTAGCAAGCAAGTAACATCAGTTCATACAAATTAAGTGTATTCCTGAAGTTAAAGACAATTTTTACTGTGGTGGCAGATATTTGCTACTGAAAAAGAACAAAACATTACCTATTTTTAAGAGTAAAGATTATTTAAACCCTCTATGATATTTCCAACATTTAAAGTAATGGGAAAGCAAAAGAACTCCCAGATGGGCGCAGTGGCTCATGCCTGTAATCCCAGCACTTTGGGAGGCCGAGGCAGGCAGATCATGAGATAAGGAGATCGAGACCATCCTGGCTAACACGGTGAAACCCCGTTTCTACTAAAAATACAAAAAATTAGCCGGGCATGGTGGTGGGTGCCTGTAGTGCCAGCTACTCGGGAGACTGAGGCAGGAGAATGGCGTGAACCTAGGAGATGGAGCTGGCAGTGAGCCAAGACTGCACCACGGCACTCCAACCTGGGCAACAGAGTGAGACTCCATCTCAAAAACAAAAAACAAACAAACAAACAAATAAACAAAAAACTCCCAGACACCTAATATATGTTTCATGTTCTTTTGAGAAAGCTTAATTAGGCTGGGCGTGGGGGCTCATGCCTATAATTACAGCGCTTTGGGAGGCTGAGGCTGGCGGATCACCTGAGGTTAGGAGGTCAAGGCTATAGTGAGCCATGACTACGCTA